AATCAAATCTACTGACAACAAATTACCTTAGTTTCCCTCACTCCTTAAAGATATTTTCTCTGAATCCGCACTTCAGAGTTGACAGCTCTCTTCTCTCAGTATTATTATGTCTGTTTGCTGTCAGGACTTTTTTCTTTGCAAAATTTACTTTTCCTCTTAGCAGTTTGATCGTGAGTGTGGATTTCTTTGCGTTTACCCCGTTTCAAATTTGCTGAGCATCTTGAATCTGTCGTTTTATGTCTTTCACCAAATTCAAGAAGTTTTCAGCCATTATGTCCCCAAATGCTTTCTTTCGCCGCACTCCGGGTCCCCTCCTCTGGTGCTCCGGGATCAGACTTTTGTGTGTCTGTGGCCCGTTGGCTTTTTCTCCCGTGTCTGTTTTCATCATTGTTCAGACTGAATCATTTCTGTTGATCTCCTTCAAATTCAGTCATTCTTTGTCATCTTGTTACTGAGTCCATCCAGTAGATTTTTTTAAGTTCTAGCTACTGTATTTTTCTGTTTTGAAATTTGCACTTCGTTATTATTTTTATCATCTCTTCTTTTGCCAAGACTATTCTGGGTTGGCATTCATTTCAAGAACGTTTGCTCTTGCTCGTAGGAACATTTTCACAATAGTCTTTAAGGTAATCCCAGCATCTGTGTCATCATGGCATTGGCAGCCGTGAACTGAGGTTTTCCTGATTCTTTGTATGCAGAGTGATTTTTTGACCGATTCTTTAGTGTGTTTATGATTCTGTCCTTGTTTAGATTCTAAGGAGAATGCTGATATTTTTGTCCTAGAAGGCATTGACCCACTGGGGTTCAGGTCTCAAGTTCCAGCCACCCTTCTGTGGGCTGGGGGTCCCCGTTTAAAGCTTTTGCTATACTGTTCAAACCTGTCCTGTGCACGTTCCCCCCACTGGCCAGGGTGGGTCTTGGCCAGTGGTCTGGCCTGCTGTTCAGTTCTCAAAGCTTCGGTGCTGTTGACATTCAGGTCTACCACACGCGGCTCGGAGGTAAGGCAGGTTCTCACAGACTTGATAGGGTTGCTTTTCTGAGCTCCTCCCTGTCCGTGGTGTCCCTGGTACTTTCCGATGTCTTGAACCCCACTTTTCGGTTGCTGCAGCTGAACATCTGGGGCTTTCGTTAGTGC